ATGGCTCGTCCAATCCGCGAAAATGTCTTATTAATTACCACTGTTGACGTTCAAAGGAATCTTCATGATTAGAGGGGGTCAAAATGTGACGAACGCACAGGCTGCTTCGAAATCACATTGATGACATTGAGAGTGAAATCGTAAGCTATGAAATTATGAAAGATCATTCTTCTGTGCGATTCATGGTTCAGGACGAAGCAATGAATGAAAGTAGGTACTTTCACTGCCCCCTTCTCCGCAGCTAACCATTTTATGATTTTCGAAATTCTTTTGTTCCCACTTAGATTCAAGCTTGCCTGTAAGAGGAGAAATTTGACTCTCCCCCAGAGAACGGATTTAGGAGGGTAAGCTGAATTTTTCATGAATGAGTGTGATAGAATATCATCCTGTCTGACCCTCTGTCTGTTTTTGGTTCAGTTATGGTTGGTTTACAGATAGGTCTCTCTTTGAGTTCTCCAATCGTTCGCAGCCATGTTTCTTTAATATTTCCAACATATGTCCTTCCATACAAAGTTTCGTGGTCTGAATAGCTTTAACCTTTGGCATCCGCTTGTCAGCAAGAGAGAGGCAGTGATTGAGAGCCTTGCATTTCAAGCACAAGGAAGTTTCTGGACTTTATATCTTCAGTCATCCGACGGTGTCTCATGCCCTGTTCGCTCTTCTGTGGATTTCTTGTAATGGGTTCTTTCGCATTTGTTAGGCATGTGAAAGAATTGTAATTTCTGACCACTTCATGTTTATGCTGTTTATGCCTAGTGACTTCTTGAGTTCGTGGGGTCGATTATTTGGTGAATATTACTTGAGTCCTCTTCAGGTTCATTTTAAAGCTCCGTAGTGTCGGTCAACTCGTTGGCCCTTTTTCGCAGTTGTTCAGAAGATACATAGATGTCATCGACAAACCGCACACGATTCCAGTCACTCTCCTTCTGATGCATCCAGTATAGTTTTTTGAAACACTCTTGCTGATTTAAATCAACCAGCCAGGCGCATTTTCTGTTTTTGAATTCCGTATTGCTTTTATAGAAAGTTATACAGTACACATTGATCCTGTGATTACGTCTCTGTATGTCTTCACGACTCCGTAACTCCAATACAGGTCGTTTGGAAACTGCCTCATGATGTTTTTCAGAGTTTCGATAAAATCAGTGAGAAGGGAATGGACACTCTCTGTGCTGTCTGAAAATTGATCTGTCATATAATACCATTGCTGAACTTACTCTGCCGTAATTTGCTTATGTTTAAGTATTTCATGTTCATGGTTCGCTCCGTTGATCGTCGTAGAACATATCCATTTTTGAGCAGCCCCGCTAGCAACATTTCTTATGATTCCGTGGGGGTATTCTGATTTTTGATGTTGTTCATGCAGCTCCCTGCTCAGAAAGTTGACAGTAGTGGGGGACGTTGCAAGATTTCGTGGCACAATGTACAGTACCGGTTAATTCAGTTTTATGGTAAATATTATGGGAGACTAGCATTTGCTTAGCCAAAATTAAACTAGAGGCTGAGGTTCAGCCGCAGTTCGATAGTTTCCACTGAACTTTGCAGCATCTTCTGTGCAGAAGGCCCATCATGAAAAGATTTTATGTTATGTTTAAAATAATGCACTAGCATCCTACCATCCACGTTTCTTGTTTCGGCTGTCTTTAGTCCAAGCAAACCGGCTCGTTAGGGGCTCGCAGCAAGAGAAGGCATCTAACAGCCATTGTCCCAAAACATGTAATGGTACTTCTCGACTTTCCGCGTCGTGGCGTCTAACCTATGTCTATAGACAGCTATATAAAGTTATAGTTATATTTTTCATTCAGGAATTATTTTGCGAGTAGTCATCAGATATGAAGGAAATGGTGGTTTTAGGACTGGAAGCCGAAGTCGACGATGGCACTTCATCAGCATGCGTTTCTGGAGTGTTGCTTGCGACTGTCATTGGAGTCGTAGTAGTTGCGTTGTCAACGTTAGGCTCTCTGTGTATTTATAAGCAGTGCATTTCTCCCAATGGCCCTACGAAACGTGTTCCGTTTTACCAGTCGCGATCGATTCCCGGCTTGAACACGAACCCCTTCGATTACCGGAAGTGCAGTGACAGAACTTCGAACTATAATCGATGATAGTCTCATTTCATTTCGTTTCATAAATGCACTCATAGTGTTGATTGTAGATATATACATATTGCTGTTTTGTGAAATTAGTGCGATTTTGGTAGCTATTGCTCAAAGAAAAAACGCATGTAGTATTGCGTTTAATGTATTTTGCTGCTTGTGGTAATTCTGCATACATGTCATCATATTCGATCGGAACTTTATTCTTCTCCCTTTTCTTCTAACAATAACTCTTTGCCAATTTAAAGCAGAATAGTTACACTTTAAAGCAGTACGGGAATCACTGGTACTTTATATGATGGTTTTATGTGCCAAGACTGTTTCGTAACGCTAACTCTTAAACTCATTCTGTCAATGCCAGAATAAGTGATTCTGAACTGAAACCCCTATCGGCTACGTAGCCTTTGGTAGAGATTTCATGGCGTACTTTCTGATCGTGATTCTAAAAAGACATTTAAGGGCGTTTTACATATATAAGATAAAAAGTTTGCAAATGCTACATCAAAGCATGTAGGAGTCACCTGTTTTTTCTAGGCTTAATAAGAAAATTGGTTTTCCTCAAACTTTAGAGATTAGTTTAAATCTAGGAAAATAGTCTTCTTTTAAAAAATCTGTTGATGCGTTGTACCACAGGTAATTTTTAAGATCAAGGCAGCATGTCAGAATTAACTGCCGAAAGTGCTCTCTCTTCTAATAAGGCAGCTATGAATTTGAATTAATGATTAGCATATGAACATAGTTACTAAAACAGCTGTACCTCCTCCGCCCCAAACGGCTGTGTTTATAGCCGGATCGCCGAACAAGACAAGCCCAACATCAGTCAACCTAGAAAAGTATTCAGATTAGTCAGTTAGTTAGCTACAGATCTGAAGATCGATCAAGACAGCCTTTATTTTCAATCGGAAACGAGACCATTACCAAAAAACTCATCATCTGCTTAACTATAAATGTGTGAGAGAAATCGATGAAATCAGAAAATCGTTGAAAAGCCATGACAACTGCCGATGACGATCAATCAGCCACATTTGCAGCAAAACTCGACAAAAACTTCAGCAGGAACTCAATGTATTGTTGAACAACTGACAAAGTCGGAGGTTCAACATGTCGACGTTGAATGTCAGTTGCCTTTAAAGCAGGCGAAGGGCGGCTAAAATTCAGAGGTGAATCTTCACACGCAATGAAGCATGACATGCTTAGAAGCAACACCAAACGCTTTACGGCCGCAGAACCAAAACTGCTGAGAAACTGGCTAAAAGTAAGGTCATGCAACAAGAAAAAAAGAAAGTCACCGTGGGCACTTTTGTTGCCATTCTTTTCTTGAATTAGAAGATGCGATGCTGATGTCCGTTTCTATGACATCAGCTAGGATTGCCTTGCTTCAAAGGCAAAGTCTTCAGACATGTGGCAAGCGTAGCGTCAAGTCTCCTTCCTTCCCACAGAGTACTACTCATTTATGAATCACGGAAGTAGGAAGAGCAAGTGACCCTACTCCGACCGGGGCTGTAACTTTGCACCTCTCAGTTCTAAGCTAGACGCCCTAACCACCGAGCAACTCCGGTCTCAAGCAATGTGCATTAAATTCCTTGTTCAAGAGAATTCGTCAATAAGAAAGACTGCCCTCGAACGGAGTCGACCCCGGCATCTCCGGAGTTCGAAGCAAATCTCTTACACAACTGTACCGACACGCCCCAGAAAGGAGCAAGCTTGTCAATTAAACCTTTCCAGGACTAAAAATAACTAGAAATGTAAAGTCAACGGGATCAGGAAACTGTAAGACATCATCTTCGTATGACGGATGATAAACAGCCAAAGCAGAAAGGTGGCACAATAGTACAACTTTAAGATGATAACCCCATCTCCCAAATTAACTGAGCATTTTCGTGAACTACCCACTTACAGCTACGTCGTAGCTCGGTTGCTGTAATCATAAAAAAACGATGGTAAAAAAATACATAACACCCTATGAGACTAGCCATAAGGAACACAGAGGTTATCCACGGATCAGCAAATACGTTCGTATGTCGCTGTGTACCGAAGCATCCACTAGAAGACAAGCGAATGGCAAACTCACTAACCATAACTGGCCATGACTTACGTACTGGCGCTGAAACGTCGCTCAGCACGGGTACGTCGTATTTGTCTATTCACAAGAGAGAAGGCAGAAAACTTTAAATGTTTTCTTTAATGAGTATAATGAAAGCCCAACTGCGTCCATTCATCCAGTCGATCGCTTAATGTAACTCAGTTATTAATTTTGAAAAACTGCTCAATGACACGCGGCGTCATTCGACAAAATTTCTGGTCAGTCGTTTCGCCTCTCAGATTCCTCCAGTCCCTTTCAACTATCTTTTCTATCACG